GGATTTTCTGGGAATCTTTTCTCAGAATCCTCAGAAGTTTTGAGGATTTTCTGGGAATCTTTTCTCAGAATCCTCAGAAGTTCCAAGGGATTTTCTGGGAATCTTTTCTCAGAATCCTCAGAAGTTCCAAGGGATTTTCTGGGAATCTTTTCTCAGAATCCTCAGAAGTTTTGAGGATTTTCTGGGAATCTTTTCTAGAATCCTCCAAAGTTGCAAAGGATTTTCTGGGAATCTTTTCTCAGAATCCTCAGAAGTTCCAAGGGATTTTCTGGGAATCTTTTCTCAGAATCCTCAGAAGTTTCGAGGATTTTCCGCGACTCTTTCCCCTAAACCCACCGGAATTTGGGATCCCCCATCGGCGATCGCGCTTCCCTCCCTCCTACCTGTCTCGAACTCTCCGGAGGGATTCTCCCAGCTGCCCTGGGCGTCCTCCAGCATGCGCTGGGTGATCTGGTGAGGATTTTCCGCGACTCTTTCCCCTAAACCCACCGGAATTTGGGATCCCCCATCGGCGATCGCGCTTCCCTCCCTCCTACCTGTCTCGAACTCTCCGGAGGGATTCTCCCAGCTGCCCTGGGCGTCCTCCAGCATGCGCTGGGTGATCTGGAAGAGCGGCTGGAAGAGCTGCTGGAAGCCGCCGTGGCGGTGCGGGAAGAACGGGAAGAAGTCGCCGGAGAAGCGGCGGAAGCGGCGCGGGAAGCGCAGCCGCTGCACCGGCGGCCGCAGCGCCTCGCGGAAGCCGCCGAAGGGCGCCTGGAAGAAGGGATGGAGGCGGCCCTGGACCTGGGAGCTGTCCTGGAGAATGTCCTGGACGCCGTCCTCCAGGAGGCCGAAGCGCTCCTCCAGGTCCTGCAGCTGCCGCTCCTGGCGCTCGTCGCGCTCCAGCAGCGAGTCCAGGCGCTCACCGTCCACCCAGATGGAGATGGGAGACGAGTGGTTCAGGAATTCCTCCAGCTGGGAATGGGAACGGGGTCAGAAACTGGGATCCCCGTGCCTGAGACACTCTGGGATCAGGGGCAACACCCAACCATTCCCGGGATCCCACAGCTGGAGACCCTCTGGGAATGGGATCTAAACCCAGCTGTTCCCAGGATCCCCCACCTGAGACCCTCTGGGATCGGGGTCAACACCCAGCCATTCCCGGGATCCCACAGCTGGAGACCCTCTGAGATCGGGGTCAACACCCAGTCATTCCCAGGATCCCCCACCTGAGACACTCTGGGAATGGGGTCGGAACCGAAGATCCCTGGGCCATTTGGGATCCTGCACATGGAGACCCTCTGGGAATGGGGTCAGAAACCGGGATCCCTGGGGCATGTGGGATCCCCCACCTGAGACACTCTGGGAATGGGGTCAGAACCCGGGATCCCTGTGTGATGTGGGATCCTGCACATGGAGACCCTCTGGGAATGGGGTCAGAACCCAGCCATTCCCGGGATCCCACACCTGGAGACCCTCTGGGAATAGGATCAAAACCCAACATCCCTGGGCCATGTGGGATTCCCCACCTGAGACCCTCTGGGAATGGGATCTAAACCCAGCTGTTCCCAGGATCCCCCACCTGAGACCCTCTGGGAATGGGGTCAAAACCCAGCCATTCCCGGGATCCCACAGCTGGAGACCCTCTGGGAATGGGGTCAGAAACCGGGATCCCCGTGCCATGTGGGATCCCCCACCTGAGACACTCTGGGAATGGGGTCGGAACCGGGGATCCCTGTGTGATGTGGGATCCTGCACATGGAGACCCTCTGGGAATGGGATCTAAACCCAGCCATTCCCAGGATCCCACAGCTGGAGACCCTCTGGGAACAGGGTCAAAACCCAGCCATTCCCGCGATCCCACACCTGAGACCCTCTGGGAATGGGATCAAACCCGGCCATTCCCAGGATCCCTCAGCTGGAGACCCTCTGGGAATGGGATCTAAACCCAGCTGTTCCCAGGATCCCACAGCTGGAGACCCTCTGGGAATGGGATCAGGGCAAAATCCCCTTTTCCTCATATCCCTGTGCCATGTGGGACCCTGCACCTGAGACTCTCTGGGAATGGGATCAAAACCCGGCCATTCCCGAGATCCCTGTGCCATGTGGGATCCCCCACCACCTGAGACCCTCTGGGAATGGTATCAGGGCAAAAATCCCCCATTCCCGGTATCCCTGTGGCACGTGGGGTCCTGCACGTGGACACTCTGGGAATGGGATCATCCCAAATCCCCTTTTCCCAGCATCCCGGTGTCCCTCAGCCACTGACGCTCTGGCTAGCAGGAATGGGAACGGGATCATCCCCAATCCCTCCGTTTTCCTGGTGTTTCCCTGATGTTTTCCTGGTACTTTCCCGGTATTACCCCATTGTTTCCCATTATTTCCCTGGTGTTTCCCCATTGTTTTCCGGTTTTTCCCTGCTGTTTCCCCACTATTTCCCTGCTGTTTTCCCATTGTTTCCCTGGTGTTTCCCCACTGTTTTCCTGGTGTTTTCCATTGTTTCCCAGTTGTTTCCCCATCGTTTTCTCATATTTCCTTGTTATTTCCCTGTTGTTTCCCAGCTGTTTCCCCATTGTTTTCTTGTACTTCCTTGTTATTTCCCTGTTGTTTCCCTGGTATTTCCCTGTTGTTTCCCTGGTATTTCCCCCAGATTCCTTTAACACCCCGATCCCCAGCATGGCATTCCCAGATTCCCAGAACACCCCAATCCCCAGCACGCATTCCCAGATTCCCGTAACACCCCAATCCCCAGCACAGCATTCCCAGATTCCCAGCACACCCCAATCACCAGCATGGCATTCCCAGAGTCCCAGGACACCCCAGCTGCCACACAGCATTCCCAGAGTCCAGGGACAACCCAACTTCCACATTGCATTCCCAGATTCCCAGGACACCCTGATCCCCAGCACGGCATTCCCAGAACCCTGGGACACCCCATCCCCCACATGGCATCCCCCATTCCCAGGACATCCAACCCCTGACACAGCATTCCCTGTTCCCGGAACATCCAGTCCCTGACACAGCATTCCCTGTTCCCAGGATAGCATTCCCCATTGCCAGGACATCCAACCCCTGACACAGCATTCCCCATTTCCTGGACACACCGACCCCTGACACAGCATTCCCAGACTCTCGGGACATTCCAGGATCCAGGACACACCATTCCCAGGACAGCATCCCCCGTTCCTGGGATACCATCCCCCATTCCCAGTCCATCCCATTCCCAGTCCATCCCACTCTCGGCCCATCTCAATCCCCTTCCCAGCCCATCCCCATCCCATTCCCATGCCAATCCCATTCCCAGTCCATCCCGAATCCACCCCTTTCCCATCCTGATCCCATTCCTATCCTGAACCCATCCCATTCCCAATCCCATCCCATCCCATCCCCATCCCGTTCCCATTTCCATCCCCATTCCAATCCCATCCCAATCCCATTTCGTTCCCATTCCCGTTCCCATCCCTTTCCTGTTCCCGATCCCATCCCATTCCCATCCCATTCCCATTTCCATACCCATCCCATCCCAATCCCATTCCACTCCTGATCCCATTCCCATTCCCATCCCCTTCCCATTCCTGATCCTGATCCCGATCCCATTCCCATTCCTGATCCCATTCCCATTCCCTTTCCCAGTCACATTCCCAATTCTTTTCCTGATCCCATCCAATTCCCGATCTCATTCCCGATCCCGATCCCATCTCCTTGCCGCGCTGTGTCTGCTGCAGGGAGCGCAGCAGCTCCTGGTGCCCGCAGCCGCTGCGCTCCACTCCCGTTCCCGTTCCCGTTCCCATTCCCAATCCCAATCCCATTCCCAATCCCGATCCCAATCCCATTCCCGATCCCAATCCCGTTCCCACCTCCTTGCCGCGCTGTGCCTGCTGCAGGGAGCGCAGCAGCTCCTGGTGCCCGCGGCCGCTGCGCTCCACTCCCGTTCCCGTTCCTGATCCCATTCCCNCATTCCCAATCCCATTCCCGATCCCGATCCCGTTCCCACCTCCTTGCCGCGCTGTGCCTGCTGCAGGGAGCGCAGCAGCTCCTGGTGCCCGCGGCCGCTGCGCTCCACTCCCGTTCCCGTTCCTGATCCCATTCCCAATCCCGTTCCCAATCCCATTCCCAACCCCATTCCCGATCCCGTTCCCATTCCCGATCCCAATCCCATTCCCGATCCCGTTCCCACCTCCTTGCCGCGCTGTGCCTGCTGCAGGGAGCGCAGCAGCTCCTGGTGCCCGCGGCCGCTGCGCTCCACTCCCGTTCCCGTTCCTGATCCCATTCCCAATCCCGTTCCCAATCCCATTCCCAACCCCATTCCCGATCCCGTTCCCATTCCCGATCCCAATCCCATTCCCGATCCCGTTCCCACCTCCTTGCCGCGCTGTGCCTGCTGCAGGGAGCGCAGCAGCTCCTGGTGCCCGCGGCCGCTGCGCTCCACTCCCGTTCCCGTTCC